TTTTTTTTTTGGTACCAGGGATCGAACTTGGGTTCTTGCGCTTGCACAGCGGGTGGCGAAACCACTGAGCTAAATCCCCAGCCTATGCAACACTCTTGAAGTAGTAAAATTATGGCAGTATAGAAAAAATTATTGGGTGTTAGAAAATGAGGGGGAGTAGAAGTACAAGAGTTTTGAGATTATGTTTATAAATGAGCAACTCGAAGGATTCTTTGGTGATGGAAATATTCTGAATCTTTACTAAGTTAGGTAGATACACAAACTTACACACAAGATCAAAACTGTATAAAGCTAAACCCATATAGAGATAGATGAATATAAGTAAAACAAAACCTACACATCAGTGGCTTGTATCAGTGTCAATACCCTGGTTGTGATATTGCATTATAATTTTGCAAGATGTTATTTTTGCAGGAAACTGGGTAAAATGTACAAGGGATCTATATAATTGAATATATTAAATATTTATCTTCAGTTTGTATTACTCAAGTTCTCTCAGAAAACTCTTGATTGGATGAAGTTTGTTCTCTAATAGATTCCTCCAGAAGGACTATGGATGTACAAATTGAAAACTGTTTTTTCTATAGTTTTGTATAGTTTTATATTGGAAGGACAACTAGATTAGGTATGAAATCCTTGCCCTGTTGATACTCTCAGTCCTTCAGGTGTGTAAATATAAAGCCTCTCTTAAATTCACACAGCAGTAGACAACGAAACCTAGAGTCTCTGCACTGAGCTACATCCCCATTCTATTTTATTTTTTTAATTTGAGACAGGGTTTCACTGAATTGCCCAGGCTGGTCTTACGTATGTGATCCTCCTATCTCAGCCTCTTAGAGTGCTGGGATTACAGGCACAGGCCACCATGCCCAGCTTCTTTGAAAATTTTAGTTGCTTGTTTTTCCATTTGACTTGCAAACAAAAATACAATGAAAAATGGTAAACTCCCCCCAAATCTGGATACTAATTATAACTGCTGTGACTAAGTTAATTTAGATATACATCATTTAATCTGGAGTTACTTACTGTGTATCTTTTTTTCCCTCTATGGGACCTACTTTTTTTTTTTCTTTTTCTTTTTTCTTTCTTTTTTTTTTT